AACATTGGCTATCAACAAACATATGGCATCTCAGAGATGTGTCGTTCCTACGGCAAAGACCTTACCGCCATTGCTGCCGTTATGTGATACTAAAGTTGAAATTGTAAACGGAGGATATGGCATTAAGAATCCCCTATTGAAGGCAGAGATGCTTCCTGCTGAAAACTTGATCAAGAGCAGTTCAGCGGAAAAGAAACCTCTGGTCTGTAGCATTTGTCGCAAAGTGAGTTACATGTTCAGAAAACACTGCCAAAAGTGTCTTACGGGTCGAAACGTTAATTTCAGGAATTCATGTTGAAGCGACTGTTACAACGTCATGCAAAATGTCACTCGGAAATCAAGCGCTACCTTTGCACGTTTTGTGGCAAGGGCTTCAACGACACGTTCGATCTAAAGAGGCACACAAGGACGCACACCGGTTAGCACGATTCGTGTCTCGTATCAAATCTCAAGCTGCCTGTTCTTTGCAGGAGTCAGACCCTATAAATGCGACCTCTGCGACAAGTCGTTCACTCAAAGATGCTCGTTGGAGTCCCATTTGAAAAAGTTGCACGGAGTTCAGCACAACTATGCCCACAAGCAGCGTCGAAGCAAGGTAACCTGCTGACGTTAAATTCCATTTTTAGTACCGTGAGTTTGTGAGGATAGAGCAAAACATTTTGGTGACAAAGTTTCATTTTGTAGCGGCTTCTGTTTTCCTGCGGTTGCATGAATTTTGGCCTTGTCTTGACAGCTTAAAAGTTTCGACATAAAAAATTAATAATATAAAAGTAGTTGTGTAAAGTAACCTTGCTCGTGTACCTGACGCATGTGAGAAAAAAGTGCTGATTTAATTAGTCTACGAAAATGACTGATACATAACAATAAAAAAGATGATATCGAAAATTCATTTTGATTCTTCTATGCCACGGACTTTAGAATCTTCTAATCTCTGATTCAAGAGTTTGTGGCGCAGCACAAAATACGAAACCTATATCAGATGGTTTTTAACGTTATGGCCTGCTTTGGACAGAAAACTAGCAGCCTCGAGTGTTACAGTGTACACTGAGACTGACATGGCTTCAGTAAGCAGGTAGAATGAACCGAAACCTTCAGTGATATCAAAAGAACTATGCACCATTCATACAACTTGTTTTTATTAGCAGAGATGGGCTGCATTTCTCTGATCACCAACGTAGCTCCATCATCTCCGTGGTCAACCAGTGAATCGTATTCTTCGACAGGATGGTGAATATGTTTTAGGACTTGACAAAAACACCGGAGTGTTCCAGATGATAACTTTTTCTGTGTCTACCAATTTGAACTAAGCACATTTTGAAAGTGTTCTAAATGCAAATTAATTAGCAACTGTTATACTGAATACAAAATATTTTTTTTGGTAATTAAAGTACAAAACCCAGTGACGGATCTTAGTAAAAGAATATATTATGATCACGCTTTGCCAACAACCTACATATGTCTTCGTATATACCGTGGATACATGGAATTCGGTTAGAGTTTTAAAAATTGACTCTAGGAAAAGGCTGCTGAATAGGACAAGGAAGTAAAAAAAATGAATTAAACACTTCGCGTAGTCAATTTTCATGAAAGTATCACAAGGGTACTTAGTTTGCTCAGAAAGGAGACGTTTATAATTGCAGCATTTGAAAGTTCTGAAACCTGTGCACTCTATGACATTAGTACAGACGGATTGAGGACTGCGGGAGGAAGGATTTAAATAACGATTGAAATGAGTCGCCTTTTCATATACAGAAAAATAGTGAGATCCGTTAACGCTATGTTTAATCAAATTGTCAAAAAAGGTAGCACGTTATCAACTTCTTTTTCTAAAGTGGCTTTTATTGATTGGCAGCCCATAGTGAATTTAGTATATGAGAAGTGAAGTGAGTGATTTAGTATGATTATTTATGAAAATGAATATATTATCAATGTAAGGAAAATATAAAAAAGG